TTTTTTTTTTTTTTTTCTTTTTACATGTCAGGTTTTTGGAACCAGAGAATGCACTGGCTTTTCTGATTTGCATTGTCCACTACAAGATGTGAATTTAAGTTCCTTCCTTGTATTTTTATCACTCGATGGGTCATGTCTTTTCATACTTCAATGGTATTTCACTGCCTGGATAAACTATAGTTCATTGATTCACCTACCTCCTGGCTGTTCCCCACTATTAGCACCTATGAATAAAGTTGCTATAAACCATTTTCTATCTCTGTATATCTCTGTCTTTCTTTCTCTTTTTATTTCTATTTTTCTCTTTCCTTATCTCTCTCTCTCTCTGGCTAGGAAAATCTCTCTCTCTCTCTCTCTCTCGTGTATATGTCATATGTGTGTCCATAAATAATCCCTTGAAATTGTGGTCAAGTAAGATTCTCTATATAGGTTCCCAAATCATAGTAGATAAATAGGAACTTTGCCATGAATTTGTACCCAGCAAACTGTATCTTCACATGCAGAAAATCATTACTCTCATGCCAAATAAAAATCAACTTAAAGTAGCTCAAAGACTTGAATGTTAGATGGAAAGATATGGGGATTAGAGAGATGGTCCAGCAATTAAGTATACTGCTCAGTTATGAGAAATGGAGTTCAAATCCATATCTGGTAGTTAGCAAAAGCCAGCAATTCCAGCTCCAAGGAATCCATAACCATACTTTGGCTTCCATGGGCACCTGCTCCTATACACAATTATATATACACTCATGCAGATACACGTGTAAATAAGAATAAATAAATTAAAATCTTTATCAAGAAATAAAGTAACCCTGATAGTAGGAAAGAAAAGAGAGAGAGAGAGAGGAAACACTTGAAGTAGCCATCAGTTTCTGTGTTGAGTTTTTTATGAACTTTATATTCAATTATTTTAGAACGATTTGTTGAAATTCTACATGTTTCTTTTATTTGTTGCCTCTGCTCTTTGTAAAAACAGTATAGTACATTTATTTGAGTAGATTTTTAGCTTCTCTCTTCCATGGTGTATTCTTCTGCCATTACCACAGTCGCCTGAGTGCTTTACAGAAAATACTTAATCTTTATGATATTAATGCAACTCTTTCGATACCCAACATGATTGCCTGACTTATAATTCCTAAAGATAAAATTTCATGTTATTTGACATTCTGAGCCTCTCTATATAGTCTTTGTCGGTAATTCATAGTACTTGGTGCTTCTGTATTTTATAGTCTATGTTTCATGGATTGTAAGCTTTTCTAGTTTTCATGCTTTTTTTCTTACCAGTATACTTCATATATTATTTTAACCTGTAATAGTTTGTTAGCAATTACAGAACAGTTATATCTTTCATGCTGTCTCCGTAATTTTACAGATAAATGGAAGACCAGTAGATGGGTTATAGGGCCAAGGCTGCAGAAGTTTCTTTAATGAATATGGTAGAACAGAATGTTGTTTTACCTCACTTAAACAAAAATAAAGTAAAATAAAGTAAATGACAGATTGGGGAAGGAGGAGGTATGGCTGCCCAGTTGAAAAGATCATTCGCTTCCTGCTTACCTGTCTTGAGATAATTTTGTTTTTTTCACTATGACAAAATGAGTTGTCTCAAACCTCTAGTAATTCCCTGACACATTCATCTTTTTTACAAGTTTAGAGTTAGCTGTTCACTGTGTTGGCAGTGCTGTTATAGGTGGGTTATTTGTTAAATGGTGATCACGATTTTCACCCGTTTTTCATCCATGAAGTGCCCCTCAACACTTTACTGTTGAGTTTAGAGGGTTATGTATTGATTGTGGAAAATTTCCACTGGTTAAAAGCTGTTCAGTAGGCTGAGATTTGGGGATGGATGACAGTGAAGTATGTAAGATTTGAGTTGGTTGGAGATAAGGGAAAGACGAAGGATGTGGAATACAAAGATATCTAGGAACCAATAACCAGTTTGCGTGTGTTGATAGACACAGAATGTAAGTGTGTGTGTGTGCTTATGTGTGCGTGTGTGTGTGTGTGTGTGTGTGTGTGTGTGTGTGTGTAGAGGGAGACAATGAGTACGAGTCCTCTCTAGATCTTGACCTGGATTACTATTATCTACAGTCGAGTGATTTTTTTTTTTTTTTGTGTGTGTGTGTGTTTTAGAATGATTTCAATTCGACATCTTATTGCTCATGTAACTGTTGAATTTGATCCTTGAGTGTGTGATTGTTTGTGGGAACAGATGATGTCTAGTCCAGGAGCATGTGTGGAAACACCACTGACCTAGTCTGGTGTGGTTCTGCAGGTGTGCATGTGGCTGCCCACTTGGTGAATGCCCTCAACTTCTCAGTGAACTACAGCGAGAACTTCCTGGAACTGAATGCAGCGAGATACCAGAATGAGGTGGGTGGTCCCTGCCTTTCCATTTTCCTTTCACTTGTCATTAGATAACTAATGAGGGTCTATGATTTTTTACAGCAAATTTGTACCTTGCTGCTCCTTAGAGTGCTTTTAAAGTGCAGTTGTCAAGTTGAGTTTTATTCCCTTTCAGTAGAAATTGTTGGTAATTACTATTCTATAGTTTCTCCTGCTGAAAATGGGAGTTTGCAGTGTCTGCTTTTTATATTCTGCAATATTCAGAAGGCTGCCACTCAGATCTACTTTTCGACTCCCAACAGCTTTTGTCTAATTCCTCTCATTTAGCTGAGAGTGTTGACAGTGCCAATCTTAGGTAACAATACTTTAATAACTCACTTACAGTGCTAGGGGGAAAAGGGCACAGCTGTAGGTTGATTATTTGTCGATACTAAATAGGGAATTTATTTGACGAAAATGCTAGTGTGTTTGTTTCTATGATTCCTTCGTTTCCACTAAATAGATGGCCTTGAATTGAATTTAATACATGTGATATCTGATTTAGGGGTGATGTTCTTCCCTTTAATTGTTTATGTGTCCACGAGACGAAATTGTTGTGCTGAGCCAGAGTCAGATGCACAGCACACGCACAGCCCTGGTTAGGTCTCTGTCGCTCGGTACGTTCACATCCTCTGTCTTCAGAGAGTCGTTGCTTCCCAAGGCCATGGCTGGACCGCTGCCAAGTAGCTCCGTCTCCCAGCCCTTTTATGACAAATGGCAGTGACTTCACCTGTCATTAACTGTTCCCCTCATTCGAGACTCCATTCTTTCTTCTACATACCATTCGGGTCTTCACAGCTAACATGGCTCTATAGTTTGTTTGATTGTCTTTCTAAGTTGAAACAAACGACAAAATAAATCGTAAAACTGAATACCCCAAGTCATATTTAATAAATCTCTCCTGTCTGGTATCATCTTTTAACATCAATATGATTTGATTAGTCTGACTAGGGTCTGGGCCTTGCTACTTTTAAAAGGATCACCAGTAATTATTTACTGCACAAACACCGAGATTCCCTGGAAAATCTAGCATTTTAGCTTCTCAGTGAGTGATAGCTCTCCACTTGCATGATTTTAGATTGAGTTCCATTTCTCTCATCTTCCCTTCCCTTCCGTTTCCCTCCCTCCAGCCTTGTTCTAAAATTATCAATGGTTACTTGTTTTCAGTCCTACTACAATTCCCTTTGCATAACATTTCCTTTTATGCTTCTCCATTTTTATACTTTTTTAACACCTATAATAGTTTTCTTATTTTCATACCATCCATATTTAATTGTCCAGTATTCCACTGTGTTGGTGGTTTTAGTCTTAAAAATTTTTTTTTGTTGTTGTTTCTGGGCATTGAACTTAATGTAAATAAAAGCTATCTCAGTTGTAGAGGAGGATGAAACCAAATTTATAAGCTTACAATCTGTTGGGCAACATAATGAGACCTATATATAATATGTTATATGTTACATATTACAAATTGCAAATTATATATTAAATGTATATGTTGTATGAAATATATACATAGTATATATTATATGTATATTTAATTTTGCTTTACAGCTTACGCTATTGAGTCTCAAAATTGTTGACTAAACAACACTATTACAGAGAGCCTGTAATCAGATCAATGGTCAGGCCTAGTAACTTATCCAGTGCTCTCCTTTTCTAGGGTGGGAAGACTTCTCTGGCTTTGTTTTTTTATAGTGTAAAAATATGTTATAATTAAGTCCTGAGTCTGTCCAGTGTGAGTCTGTCACTCACACCGGAAGAACATTACCCTAATTGCTAATATACAGCACTACAACTTGAAAATTTCTTGAGTAGGTTTATGTCACTAGCGTTTTATTTTCTGGTCAACTATTTTATTCTTTTCTTTTCTTAGGATCCTAGAAAGCTTCTTTTCACAACTGGTAAGTTGTTACTCATTGTTTTTTTCCTTAGATTCACAAACAAAGGTCTTTGAAAATAAGCATCATCACATCACATATCAATTGATCCTGCTAAATTACAGCATTCTATAAGTGATGTTAATAGTTTACCTAGGTGCTGCAATGCCAAATGAGGGGTAAAATGCAAATAGTTTGGGTCTTGAATGAAAGGAGGAAAGTATTCATGCACATTGGTTTGCCATGCACTCTGTTCTCTGGCAAGGTCTTTGAATGAATGGACTGTAACCTTCCCACCCTGAGAAGGTCTGCTTTGAGCTGTGGCTAAGGCTGGTGCTGTGGGAGGTGTTACATAGGTCCTGAGTTCCCATCCTTAATGTTCACTGCGGAGAATATCAGACTGTTGGTGCCAGTGTAGTTCTAATAACTGAGTCCATTTCAACTGATGTGTGAGACACTATCTTAAAACTCATAACTAGAAAGTTTTTAAAATCAGTTATGTTTTGGGGCTGCATGAGCTTTTCCATTAGCAATTTATTGTTCCCTTTTAAGAGCCTTCACTGGAGATCTCGGATTGTTATGCTGTAAATGTACATTTGTACACCTAAAGAATTAAGCATGATTCTTGATTGTAGGCTGCTTTTAGCACCCTGTCGGTATGGAGGTAACTGTGGCATTGAGACAGTTAGTGGGAAATGACTGGTTGTAATAAACTAGTAAGGATTAAAAGTGTACAAATGACTGGAACATATTATCCTATTACATACTACTCTAAGACTCTACGTCTTAGAGTCAGAAAGTGTTTTCTTTCTGGCCAAGAAATTTTTGCTTTTACCATGTCATAGTATTTCACAGTTCTCTATTCAGGAGCATAATTTAGTTTTGTGTAACATTTTGTTCATTGAAAACATACTGTGATTTAAGTCTTAGTAATGGATGTGAAAAAAGCAGTAAAAAAAAAACCAAGCAAAACAAAACCTTATGTTCAAATAGATGTATTTTGGATTCACATGAACTAGCTCAAGAGAAAGAAACAAGAACTGTGTTTTAAGAATATTTAAGTTCTTAAAATTCCTCAAAGAGAAGAGTGTATAAACATATAAAGTATTTCTTAGGATTTAGGTATTATATCAAGACAACTTAGTATAATTAATGCTTCTGAATAAATAGGAGATCTCTCCACCCCTAATAAAACCTCATCTTCTTATGTGCTTTGCTTCAGGTTCCCATGAGGGCTCTAGAGACAAGATTTATAGACATCTTTTCATGTCTTCACAAATAGTGCCTAGGCAAAGCCTCATTCCTTGAGACAGGATTTACACATTATAGGGTTGATCTGGTGTAGACAATATTACTATTGGTTCTTTTCTTATAGTGTGTTTAATCCTCCATTGTCTTTTCTCTTGGTTCCTAAATTATTTTCTAATATACTAAGAAATTATTTGTAAAACTAAAGTTCATAAAATTACAATATAGTAATTAGACTTACTATCTTGGGGATGATAAGAGTATTGAAATTAAGAATTTATCAAATAAATTTAATAGTTTGGAATATACAAACATTTCTCAGAAAATACTTATATGCTAAAAATTTCCTAATTCAATAATCCATTCCGTGATGAGAATAAAATACTTGACATTTAATTTGAATATGAAAAATGTGCAACAACAAACACAATCATGTTTTCAATTAAGCTAAAAGAAGCAGGACAATGAATAGAATATGTGTTTCTGACTGCATTGTGTAAGGGGGACAATGACTGCCTAAAGTCATTCAGACAGGGCACTATAGTACAATTATGTGTTGTAAAGGCTACTAATTAATCATTTTCATATGATCACATATAAATAATAAGAATATGTGTACCAATTTCCTTTTTTTCTAAAAATACAAATATGTTTGGCTGTATTATTTGAGAGGATCAAGTACTTTCAGAAAAATAAGTATACTTGATGTAGGCAAGTTTAACTTTGCCCAGTGCAACTAGACTAGTGAATAATTTCAGTCTTTTTTTCCTGTGTCTTAGAATTTGTATCCACAGAAGGCTAGTGGATTAGACCTTAGCTTAGTTGCTGGTCAAGGGTATTCTAGGGACCACTCAATGTTTCGGGGATTATTCAGTCCTCTATGCAATAACTGTCTGTGTTGTTTAACCTGTCTGGATCCAGTACTGGGCCAAGACATCTTCGATACTAGCTTCACTTTATAGCAACCGTCTAATGACACACTTCAAATGTCCACTAACAATTAATTGAACACAAAAGCCACTTGCTTATCTGTTTAATTTGATGCAATGCTCCATGACATCGCATGTAATAAGTTACCCAGTTCTGTCTGTTTCTTTGCACTAAGTAGGGCCTGGAGCTTCCTTAAAAGAGTCTCAACACTTACCTTTTCAGTACTTCTAATTACAACCAGTTTTGGTTATCTTTACTGATTGTATATGTTTCTTCTTCAGTGATCTGAATGAAATAATCTACTTTATAAATGTTGACCAGTAGTCAGTTTTCTGGGGTTGAATCCAGGGATTGCAAATTTTAGGCAAACATTCTGTGACTGAGCTTTATACTCTTGAAGAATATGGACTCTTAATCATTTTGAAAGACAGATTCCTGCACATCAGTGTTTATTGCTGCTTTATTCACAGTATCTAAGAAATTGACCTAGCCAAGATAAATAGCTAAAGAAAATGTAATACATACACATGATCAAATTTTATTTATCCATGAAGAAAAATGAAATCATGACATTTACAGAAAATAGATGGAGCTGAAAGTTATCTTAAGCAAAATAAGGCAGAGCCAGAAAGCCTTTGTGCTTTCTTTCAAAACCAATTGCTACTTTAATTTGTGTGTGTGTGTGTGTGTGTGTGTGTGTGTTTGTGTGTGTGTGTGCTGTTGTGATGGAGATATAAATTAGGAAACCAAAAATGAAATCATGGAGAAAGGGTTGCAATCCTAGATGGTGAATGGGGAAATACAGAATGTGTGAAATGAAAACAGTGATGAGGGGATGGTTGAGGTTAAGGGACCCGAGGGAAGAGATCAGGGAGTGGAGAACAGGGAGGAGATTCAACAGCAACAAAGTAACAAATAAAAATGTCAAAATGTTCTGTGCTGGGTTAAAGAAGTGAAAATGATTTGGATACAAAAAGGCAACAACAAATTTTAGATCAAAAGATTATTTCATTAAGAGAATTAGAAATCATTGAATTTATTCCCTGTAGTTTACAGATGAAATTCAGGATGCTTTGGCTTTGCCAAAGGAATAATTACAAGATCAGGTCAGACTATTTTGAACATTGGCTGCGTGGTCTTGGACTTCTTTTTCAACTTCCAATGACAGGAGTCAAACCTGCTATTCTATCTCTCTTTCTCTGTCTCTGTCTCTCTTCAGGTTCTCCCTACATATTTTCCATGTTTTGCTTCACGCAAGAAATTCTTTAGTGGATGTGAAGAAATACTTGAGTTCAATGAATTTTTTTATAGTTCCTCTGAGATGCTTTATTACACTCACATGACTTGTGACTCTTCAAAAAATGCTTATGACTCTTTTGAGTAACCGAAGTGTATATCTCAAGGAAATGTTCAATTAACAAACTTGAAATCCTGTGGCTGTATTATAAACATAACCATTTTTGGTTTTGGCTTCCCTCCATTTAGAGGGTTTGTAGACAGACATTTATTGGCCAATTGTGGCAGGCCCAAAGTCACAGAGGAAACCTTCACATCTAAAGAATAAACAAAGGCACAATCAAATTATTGGGAAGTCCATCTGATCACAGAATTTACAGTTTGTAACAATAGTGGATTCTAACACTTTTTTTTAAGGCTCAGGTAAAGTTTTTGTTTTTCTTCACATCTTTTCATACTTAACTAAAGCTCACCAGATCACACATATATGGAAACCACACTATTGAATTGGCTTTAATATTAGTTGCTACCAAAGTCAAAATTCCCAATATTTCCATTACCCTACTTCCAAATATTATGCCCTTTAATAATCCGTCTTGTTCTCTGTCCCTTCCAGTAATTCAACTGCTTTTAATTTTTTCCAACGCATTTTGTTGATTTGGGGGAGAATTCACATCAAACACATTCATTTCCCAGTCCTTTCCTGTCCATCTCCCCCCAGCCAAAAAAAAAAAAAAGTTCAGTTTATATTAAACATATCCTCACTGTGTGTGGTCCAGCTCTCAGTGGCCTTTCCCTAAATAGAGTTGAGTCTTCCCCTCCTGAATCCCTGGTGAGAGCCATCTCTTGTGGAGGGGAACCCTCGGCATCCCATCCCATCCATCCATCTATCTATCTATCTATCTATCTATCTATCTATCTATCTATCTATCTATCCACTTTATATTCCAAAGATTGTAGCTCCTTGCCTCCTTTCCTCCTGGTCTCACTCACCTTCCCTCTTCTCTCCTGTCCTCCCTCCCCTACTCCTCAGAAAAGGGACAACCCCTCCCCTCGCAATCCACCTAGCACATCAGGTTGAATTAAGACTGAGCACATCCTCTTTCCCTGTGGTCTGGCAAGGCAGTCCTGTCAAGGGGGAGTAATCAAAAGGCAGGCGATCAAGTATACCCATGGCTTATTAGGGAACCCGCATGAAGCCTGAGCTGCTCATGGGCTATGTCCATATAGGGTGCCTAGGTCCTGTTCATGCATGATCATTCATTGGTGTTTCAGTATCTTCCAGTCCCTCTGAGGCCTGGTTAGTTGGTTCTGATGTTTTTTTTTTGTGGAACTCCTGTCACCTCCAGCTCCTTTCCCCAACTTTTCCACAAGATTTCCTATGCGTTGGTTACCTAATGTTTGGCTGAGCCTCAGCATCTGTTTCAAACGGCTGCCAGGTGGAGCCTCGCACAGGACAGCTATGCTAGGGTGCTGTCTTCAAGCATAGCAGAGCATCCTTAACAGTGCCAGGGGTTGGCTCTCTCCCATTGGGTGGGTCTCAGGTTGGGCTATGTATTAGTTGGATGTTCCCACAATATCTGCTCCATCTTTATCTCTACACATCTTGTAGGCAGAGTGTATTTTGGGTCAAAATTTTGGTGGGTGTATTGGTGTTCCTCTCCCTTTACTAGGAGACCTGTCTATTTAGAAGGTGTACTATTACAGTTTTTTTTAATCTTTTATTATTATTATTGTTTTTAATTAATTACACTTTATTCATTTTGTATCCCCCCATAAGCCCTCCCTCCTCCCCTGCCGATCCCACCCTCCCTCCCCTTTCTGCATGCATGCCACTCCCCAAGTCCACTGATAGGGGAGGTTCTCCTCTTCTTTCTGATCTTAGTCTATCAGTTCTCATCAAAAGTGGCTGCATTGTCCTCTACTGTGGCCTGGTAAGGCTGCTCCCCCCTCAGGGGGAAGTGATCAACGAGCAGGCCAATTAGATTATGTCAGAGGCAGTCCCTCTTCCCATTACTATGGAACCCACTTGGACACTGAACTGCCATGGGCTACACCTGTGCAGGGGTTCCAGGTCATCTCCACGAATAGTCCTTGGTTGGAGTATGAGTCTCTGGGAAGTTCCCTGTGTTCAAATTATCTTGTTCTGTTGTTCTGCTTGTGGAGTTCCCGTTCCCTCCAGCTCTTACTATTTCCCACTTCTTACATAAAATTCCATTCACTCTGCCCATCAGTTGGCCATCAGGCTCAGCATCTGCTTTGACAGTCTATACTGCAGAAGCTTTCAGAGGCCCTCTGTGGCAGGTTTCAAGGTTGTTTCCTGTTTTCTTCTGGCTTTCAGAGGCCCTCTGTAGCGGGTTCGCATTCCTTTCAATTGCTTCTTATTTAGGTTGTTAGTATTTTTGTGGCTGGGGGTTGGTTGTTACAGAAGTTCTCCGTGTTCCTCTTTCTGAACTGTGTCTCGGTCATCAGTATTACTGCAAAAGTAGCTTTTACTCTTCACAGTCTGTGGGAACATAGATCATGGGCTTCCACAAGATTTTTGGCATTGGCACAGACTATGAACAGGGCTCCTTGTTGCAGTAGGGCTACAAACCAAGATAAGGCCCTCAGATGCAGCTGGAATCATGGGCATCAACATGGTTTCTGACTACAGCATAGACCACACATGTATGCTTGACATTTCTTGGCAACATGGGCCAAAGACATCAACACAGACCAGCATGGAGTAAGATCTTGAGTCCAAACATGACCCTCAGCAGCATCATGGTTGGGACATCACCAGGCCCCCATGTATGTTGGCACAGGCCCCCCACACCAATGAAGCCCCTGACATTGCATATGGACACCAACATGTTTTGAGGCCAGGACCCTGACCTGGCCTTGTGTGGCAGCACAGACCAGGATATAATCATAGCCTCAGGTGGCAGCAGAGACCACTCAGATCCCTATGGCTTCCAGAGGCAGCATGGCCCACAGACATCAACATGGATGTTGCACAGGTCATGAACATCTGCACATGTTCAGGTTACAACACAGTCCTCGGACATCAACCGGTACCCTGGCCACATCATGGCCACTGACCCACACATGGCCCTCAGCGGCAGCATGGGACAGGGTGGTCCTTCGAGGAAGTCCAGTCTAGAAAGTGGACCTTTCCTTATCTTGGGCCTCTGTCATTGACCAGAGAGCTAAGGCGATCCTGTTGCTAAGCAGCTTGTTCAGGGGCTGACTCTGCATCTGCTTAAGCTTCAGGATGGTGCACAACATCCCTTCGACGTCCTCAGCCCCCTCTCTCTCACTCAGTGTCCACCGTGCATCAGCAGTTCAACCCCTCTCCACAGTGCATTGACAGCTCCACTCCTCCATCACCCCCATCTCTCTGTCCCCTTTCCTGTCCTCACTGTGGTGCTCTGGGCCAGGCCAAGGGGCTGCACATTCATGGGCAGGGGCTGTTTCTGCCCACCCTGGCTCTGTTGCATTCTGCTAGAATGAGCAGCTTTTCATAACGTAAAGATAACGTGAAAATTCTAGACTTTCACGTGAAAATTAATCAGCACATTTCTACTTTTTGGTAGGCGAAACAACTTGTCTTCTTTTGCTCAGTCTAATGGTTTGGGGGATTCATCTATGTTGATGTTTAAAATATCAATAGTTCCTATTGCTTATTAATTTTCCAGATATGTGTAACAACACAATTGTGTCTCTACCTATCTGTTGCTATCTGTTGATGTTATTGTGTTATATTTCATGAATATTAAAAACAGCTATGAATATTCTCAAAAGAGTATTTGTGTTGCTATATTCTTGTTTCTTTGAGAGACTACTTGGTTGTCAGGCTGTGCTGTAAGGACGCTGCTTTTAAATAGTCTATTGTTTGTCCTTCAGTGTGAGGTGGATTGACTTCTTCCCATGTGGCCGAGAAGCAATCACTTACCTAAAGGAAATAGAAAAGGTGCTATGAAATGAATATTATAGGAAAAAACTTGCACAGAAGACTTGGCCTGGATTAAGAGCATCAGTCAAGGGCATGTTTCTGTGTATTTGGAAAAGAACTCAAATGTTAAAGAGTCAAAGGTCTACTGTTTTTCATGTGGATCTTTAATGTGAAATTTGTTTCTGCCCTAGCAAGTATTCTTATGTCATTATTGTCCAGTTGTTGTAAACACTTTGGAATCTGAATGATACGCACATGCACTGTCCTTACACTCTTCCAGGGATGGTTGTTTCTTTAGCGGTTACATTCTTTGGTGCTGACATTTAGTGTCACTGAAAGCCTTTCTGTTCCATAGGCGATAGCTGAACAAACACAGAAGTGGAAAGTGTATAATCTCCTCCAGATTGAATTTGTTGAATGATTCTTCCTTGTGGCCAAATTTCAGAATCCCTCAGATGGGGACTTTAGTGTTTATTATGGTTTATATGGTTTTATGAGTACAGAAAGTGTAGCAGAAGTCCGACATAGTGGTGTACACCTTTAATCCCAGCACACAGGAGGCAGAGGCAGTCAGATCTCAAGATGGCCAGAGTAATTAACTTTATAGTAATAACACAGTAAGGGGTCCATTTTCATTTTAGATATTAGATATTAATATATATTAATATTAGATATATGTAGTTACTCATTCTCGATATATATGGTCTAATGGCAAATTTGTAGTTGTTAAAAATATCAGTTATTTTAACATATCTGCAGGTTTTCTTTTTATTTAAGTGAATTTTATACTATATCAGGGAACTGATTTTATGTTTTGTACGTATTATTTGTTTGTGGGGTGTGTGACACAGTGCTTGTGTGGGTGGAGGAGTGTGGATTAGAGGAAAACTTGAAGGAGTTGTTTTTCTCCTTTTAACATGTGAAATATGGGGATGAAATTCAAGTTTTAAGCTTTAGTGTCAAGCACGTTTACCTGCTGAGCTATCTCACATACACTAGACTGTTTGTGATATGAAAAGAAATACAGCTAAAAGCTTCCTTCAAATGCCAGCAGAGTTAACGGATATCATAGATGAGGACGAGAGCTTATAAGAGCCAAAGGGCCAGAACATGTGTTTCAAGAGAGCGTCTTCTATGTATAACAGGGAAATTGCACCCTTCAAACCTCAACAATATGACTCCTTAACCAAAACCTACGTAATGATATGCCAGTGTGGATGAGGAAAATATTTCTTCAGGATGAACATCTGCGGTCAATTATTAGCAGCTTTAATTAAACAATATTTTCTTTAAAATTATTCTCCTCCAAGATTTACTGATCATTACGGAAGAGGGAGCAGAAAGAGTGTAAGAGTTGGAAAACGTGAACACCTACAAGGAAACAGTATCTTCTGGATACAGCATGGCAGCTGCACAGATGAACTCACAGCAGTTGTGACAGCATGATCAAGACATGTGCAGGCCTAAACTATGCCAAATCCCAGCATGCAGAAGGGGGTTGGGCACAAAGTTCTACCCCCATCCAAGTAGTTATTGGCAATTCTTAGCTGCTGGGAAGAGAAGGATCAATTCTTTCTAAAAGTACATATGAGTCCTTGATAAATCGACCACATTCCAGTTCTAAGAATATTTGGACAGTACAAATTGTGTTGTTGGGAAAGGGGGAAATAAAGAGGGATGGATTGAAAGTTGGATAGGAGGGGAGAGAGCGAATCTGGAAGACTAGGATGGAGAGTAAATATGATCGAAACACATGGTACAAAATTCTCAAAGAACCAATAAAACATTTTCCAAGGTAGTGAAGTCCAAAAAGTTAGTTGAGGTTGATACGGAAGGAGGTTGTTAGTTACATACAAAGACATAACAGAGTGAGGGAGATGAGCATTGTGGTGGAAGTCATAAAAGCTTTCTGTTCTAGCATTAATTAATTACATTTGGTGGCGTTTGTATGTGTTGACATAAGTATGCCTTCACCATTGTGAGTGGAGCAAGAATAGACTCTTCTACTCCAGGAACAAAAGGCTGCCTTGTCCGAAAGCCTAAATACTCAAGGCTGTGCTATTTTCTTAAAAGCTTGCTTGAAGGGGTGTCTACATAGAGAAATGCAATTTGGATTTGCTTTCCAGTGAATAGCATACTATACTTTATACTACAAGGTAAAAATTTTGGAGCTTTCTTCCCAGTGCAAATTAAGTTAAAATGTGCTTGTAAATATTCTTACAGTTCCAGGTCTGACAGGTGTATGCATGGTTGTGGTTTTATTCCTCATGGTTACAGCATCTACCTATGCAATAAGGTAAGTGTCAGAGTGGTTATTTTGTTATTCACTTGTTCATGTTGTCCAGATTTCCATCCACTTGTGTTCACTTCCATACAAATAGGAAAAATCTTGAGTAATGATTCAAGTTATGATGATTCAGTGCAGTTAGTGGGTTATTTTGGTTGCCACAGCTGAAATAGAGACATTTCAATATTTCATTACTGTTTTTTAAAATACATTTTATTAGTCATAAGGAATAACATGGAAATTTCTGTTGACTACTACTGGAAGTGGAATTCTTGAGGGTCTTCCAAGAAATATTGGGTTGAATTTGACTGCATACCTGAAGACCTTGAGAATTTCCAGGAATATGTGCCTTAAAAGTATCTTACAGTTAATTAACTGATGATAGTGTTTGGCTTTGACTATAATATGAAATAGTGTTCTCAATAAAGCCTCAGAAGCAAAATTGACACATGCTAAAATATTTAGAAACACTCCTGTTCATATTGATATTTCTACTTAAAATATTTTGATGTGACTTGGGAGATGACCCAGTTGGGAAAGTGTTTGCCAACAAATATGATGTTCCCAGTGCAAACCCATAATATTAATGTAAAAGTCAGTCATACATAATCTGATTAGCCTGCTCTTTGATCACCTCCCCCTAAGGGGGGAGCAGCCTTACCAGGCCACGGTAGAGGACAATGCAGCCACTTTTGATGAGAACTGATAGACTAAGATCAGAAAGGAGAGGAGAACTTCCCCTATCATCGGACTTGGGGAGTGGCATGCATGCAGAAAGGGGAGGAAGGGTGGGATCGGCAGGGGAGGAGGGAGGGGCTTATGGGGGGATACAAAATGAATAAAGTGTAATTAATAAAAATTTTAAAAAAAAGTCAGTCATAGTGCACATCCGTAATCCCAACACTGGAGTGGAGATACAGATACCTGTAGATGGAAGATTGGGGCTTTCTAAACAGAAAGTTTGTCTAGTAGTAAGCCCCGGGTTTAAGTGACGACCCTGACTCCAAAAAAAAAAAAAAAGAAAAAAAAAGGAGAAAGATGAGAAATAAACTTGACCACAACCTGTAGATGTCACACACACAGCCACCCAATTAGTCACTTAATCCAGCTTGAACAGTTTTAGGTGTATATTCTCTATAGCATTTTCATGGGTTTACTTGTTGTTGTTTTTTTTTTTTTTTTTTTTTTTTGTGAACACATTTTTATTTCAGAACATCAGTATCTCACATAGAAGATCAAACTTTTTCCTTTAAGAAAGCTGGAAGGAAGTAGGTTCCATAGTAATGGGAACAGGGACTGTCTCTGACATGAACTGATTGGTCTGCTCTTTGATCACCTCCCCCTGAGGGGGGAGCAGCCTTACCAGGCCATAGAGGAAGACAATGCAGCCACTCCTGATGAGACCTGATAGACTGGGATCAGAGGGAAGGAGAAGAGGACCACAGTGGACTTGGGGAGGGGCATGGATGGGAAAGGGGGAGAAAGGGTAAGATTGGGAGAGGAGGAGGGAGGGAGCTACAGGGGGGATACAAAGTGAATAAACTGTAATTAATATAAAAATTAAAATTAAAAACAGAAAAGAAAGCAAAATAGAGAAAACACTTAACATTTCTTATAATTTTAAAAAAAAGTCATTATTTCATTGGCTAAGATATGAAAATGAATCAACAAACGAATATGTGTATGGTTTAAAAGTAACTGGAAAATCATGTTTTCAAATGATTCTCTTGTTATACTTTCATATATATTTACTCATAACCACAGACCTTCCAGTCTCCACAAAATATTTGTTCTTTTGTTCTGCAGTTTTTTTTTTTACATACAAAGCTTCATGCTTTTTCTTACCATGTGCCATCCCCCCGTTTATGTGATCTCTGTATCACATAATGATTGAAACATTTCCATGTAAATATATTTCACCTTTCTCTTTACTGGTGACACAATGTTTCACCACACATGTGTCATTTTTCAAGATCCACTCATGTTGAGATTTTTGGGTTAACTTAATGTTCTGAATAGTAAAATCTGAAACAAGTGCCAAATCTGTGTGTTTGCATACATTTTCAACTCTGTCCTAAGGACAAAGGACACATTTATAGATAGAAATTAGTTGGCTCAAATGGTAAGTACCTTTTTTAAAGCTTGTTATAGAAGCAATGAATCATAAAGTCTTGGAGAAATAGGCACTTTTTCTCTATGGTAGGGTCTGAAACTGGTAGTAATCTTTTTAGATAGCATTAGACAATGTACCGAAACTATTAAAAATCGTTTAGAATTTGACCTAGAAATAAAATCAGATTATATTTGCCCAACTTCATATGATGAATGTTTTGGTGATATTGTTTATGAAAGCAAGTGCTGTTATAAAATGGAAAATTATTAACTATTCCTAAATGAGAATTTTTTAAAGTTGTTAGGGTAAATTTTAGTGTAATTCAAAGAGCTCTTACAAATGTCTACCCTCTACTCCTAATATATACTCCTAATAATACCCTCTACTTCCCTCATGCTCCCCCGCTGAGGGAAGTCAGGGCAGGAACTTGGAGGCAGGAATTCAGAGGCAGGTATTGAAATAGCTGCTGTGGAGCAGTGCTACTTACTGGCCCTCTCATTTTTCAGCCTGCTTCCTTTCTTTTTTCAAAATGTTTCTTTACTGTTATTATTATGATTAATATTATTATTAATTATAATTTATTCACTTGGTATCCTGGCTGTAGCCCCCTCCTTCATCTTCTCCTGTTCCCATCCTCCCTTCCTCCCGCCCCCATGTCCCTCCCTTAGTCCCCTGATAAGGGAGATTCTCTTCCCCTACTATGTGACCTTATTCCATAAGGTCTCATCAAGACTGTCTGGATTCTCTTTCTCTGTGGCCTAGTAAGGCCAACTCACCAGAGGGAAGTGAACAAAAAGGCAACCAAGTTCATGCTAGGAAATCCCTATGGAGACTGGACTGCATATGGGTTCCATCTGAGCTGGTGGTTTAGGTCCTTTCAACGCATGGTTCTTGGTTGATTCATCAGTCACTGCAGGACCCTCTGGACATGATTTTTGGCACTGTGGTCTCCTTGTGGAACGCCTGTCCCCTCCGGGTCTTTCTATCTCCTCCTTCTTCCATAAGATTCCCTGCACTCTGCCCAAAGTTTGGCTATGAGTCTCAGCATCTTTCAGAGGCCCTCTATGGTAGATTCCTGTCCTGTTCCCTGTCTTCTCTCACTTCCCATATCTATCCTGTTTGCCCTTCTGAATGAGGATTAGGCCTCTTCCCTAGGGTCCTCCTTTTTTTTAGCTTGTTTAGGACTATAGAATTTTAGTATGTTTATCTTATATTATATGTCTAATATCCACTTATAAGTGATTATATGCCATGTGTGTCTTTCTGCTTCTCTGGTACCTCACTCAGGATGATCTTTTCTAGGTCTATCCATTTGCCTGCGAATTTCATGATTTCCTTGTTTTTAATTATATTCCATTGTATAAATGTACCACAGTTTCTGTATCCATTTCCCCACTGAGGGACATCTTCATTGTTTCCAGATTCTAGCAAATACAAATAAAGCCTCAATGAGCATGGTTGAGCAAATACCCTTATTGTATGGTTGAACATCTTTCAGGTATATGCCCATTAATGGTTTAACTGGGTCTTAGGGTTGCACTATTCCTAATTTTCTGAGAAAGCACCAGATTGATTTCCAAAGTGGTTTTACAAGTTTACATTCCCACCAGCAATGGAGGAGGGTTTCTCTTTCTCCACATTCTCTCCAGCATGTGTTGTCACTTGAGATTTTGATCTTAGCCATTATGATGGGTGTAAGGTGGAATCTCAGAGTTGCTTTGATTTGCATTCCCCTGGTGACTAAGGAATTTGACCATTTCTTTAAGTGTTTCTCCACCATTCGGTATTCCTTTGTTGAGAATTTTCTGTTTAGCTCTGTAACCCGTTTTTTAATTGGATTACTTGATTTGTTGGTGTTTAACTTCTTGAGTTCTTTATATATTCTGGATATTAGCACTCTATCACATATAGGGTTGGTGAAGATCTTTTGCTGTCCTTTTGTTCTTTTAACAGTGTCCTTTGCTGTACAGAAACTTTTTAGTTTCATAAGATCCCATTTATTAATTGTTGATCCTAGAGCCTGAGCTGTTGGTGTTCTGTTCAGGAAGTTGTTTCTTGTGCCAGTAAGGTCAAGGTTCTTCCCCACATTTTCTTCTAACAAGTTTGGCATGTCTGGTTTTATTTTGAGGTCTTTGATCCACTTGGATTTTAGTTTTGTGCAGGATGATAAACGTGGATGTATTTGCATTTTTCTACATGTAGACATCCAATTAGACCAGTACCATTTGTTGAAGATGCTATCTTTTTCCATTTTATGGTTTTGGCTTCTTTGTCACAAAAAACAAGTTTCCATAGGTGTGGGGTTTAATTTCTGGGTCTTTGATTCGATTCTGTTTATACACCAGTCTGTATTCTAGAGCAGCAGTAATAAAAATGACATGGTGCTGTCCTAGAAACAGCCTGCTTTCTTATACAACTTAATACTACTTCCTCAGCATTGATTTTTCCCAGAGTGTGCTTCTCTACATAAACTATTAATCATGATATGGGCCCACATACTTGTCTCCAAGTAATCTGATGGAGACCTTCTTTCAATTAAAGCTCATTTTCTCAGATAACTCTAGTTTGTATCAAGTTGACAAAAAACTAGGTACAATTCCTTGTCAACTTGACACACCAATATATTACACAATATGTTACTTCTCTTTCTGTTGTCTTCCCGAGATCTTACCTTACTATCAATGTCTCAATATAAAACATGTCTCAATTTTAAAAGTCCTAGTCTTTATAAATACAGTCTCTTTAAAACATCCAAAGTCTCTCTAAATTTCAAAGTCTCTTGTGTTCTGTCACAAAATTATATATATATATATATATATATATATATATATATATATATATATATGATACATACTTCTTATTTCAAATAGAAGAGCCTGGGCAAGCTTCAAACCTGATCAAAGCAAAACAAAAGTTCAACAGTGTAAACTCTGTTTCGGACTTCTTGGACTCATGATCACCTGGACTTCAAAGGGCCTAAACAGCTCTACTTCTCTGCCATCCATAGTACATGTAGCTTGTCTTATAGGCTCAGGCAGGCTTCCAGATCTGCTGATGTCCTCTGTGGTCTTCCCGTGCTTCTAGCATCTCGAAAATGCTGTGATTTCTGCTGTGACTGGGCTGCATCTTGCACTATAATCACCATCCTTGCTGGGACCCTAGTTAGGGACTCTTACACTACCACGTGATTCTAATCCTCAGCTTCTTTCCATGACTCTTGCAATCCTGGTTCTTCTTCTGCAGCTGAGGCTATTCTTTCACCAATGGCTTCTACTGGCCTCTCAGAGCTCCAAGCCTGAGTTGCTCTCCTTGGTCCCTTCATCCCTCCATTTTAGTACCACCGGCGAAACTCTTAAACGTTACCAAATTCATCTGCCAGCCTGACCTTGGCCACTTCTGGGCTACAGCTTCTGAGTTCTGATCCTGTGGAAACACTTTTCAGAGCATTTCTTTTCAGTAATGCTGGTCTCTTCTTAATCAAGAGCAGTTCTTCAACCCTGGCTGACTGGAACCGCATATTTTTAATCCAAAATATTGAATATCACAGATAAGACAGGCTACCCTTAACTATACCCTGTCATTAAGGTTATCTTCTAAGTTCCCACAATAGCTCACTACACTCCGAACATTCAATTTTCTTTTTCCATCCCAAACTTCGAAGTCCTTCTACACTCCCTTCCCAAGAACATGCCAGGTCTGTCACAGAAATACCCCTTTTCTTTTTTCTTTTCTTTTCTTTTCTTTTCCTTTCTTTTGTCACTTGATATTCTTTATTTTTATTTTTAAATTATTACAATTTATTCACTTTGTATCCGAACTGTAGCCCCATCCTTCATCTCCTTCCTGTCCTTTCTTCAATCCCTCTTTTCCACCTGTGCCCCTCCCCCAGTCCACTGAAACCGCAGAGACACATACTCCAACCAAGGACCATGCATGGAGATAACCTAGAACCCCTGCACAGATGTATCCCATGGCAGCTCAGTCTCCAAGTGTGTTCCTTAGTAATGAGAACAGGGGCTGTCTCTGACATGAACTCAGTGGCTGGCTCTCTGACCACCTCCCCCCTGGCAGGTGCAGTCTTACCAGGCCACAGAGGAAGAGGAAGATGATGCAGCCAGTCCTGATGAAATATCCCATTTCTGATTCCAATTTCTGTTTTAGGGAGTTTTCCTATGATGAAACACCATGACCTAAAATTATTTGATGAAGAACAAATTTATTTCAGCTTACATCACATTCTAAGGTGGAAGAATATCAGGGTAGAAATTCAAGGCAGTTGCCTGGAAAGCAGTTACTGAAGCAGAAGGAGGAATACTGATAGCTTAATGATAATTTATTTTTTTTTTTGCAATTTTCTTTGAAATTCTCCTTTTTTGTTTTTGTTTGTTTGTTTGTTTATTTTTTTTTTTTTTTGCTTTTTTTTCAGTTTTGAAACAGAGTTTCTCTGTGTAGCTTTGGATGTCCTGGAACTCACTCTGTAGACCAGGCTGGCTTCAAACTCATAGAGATCTGCCTACCTCTGCCTCTCTAGTGCTGGAATTATAGGCATGAACCACCACCACCTGGCTTGAAATAAAAAAAAAAAGCCATGGAAATCAGAACATTATTTATTTTGGAAATTGCTTGACAATTTAAAAATTTAATATTAATAAAAATAAAAGTAAAAAAAAAAAGTAGAGCTGAACATTGTGGTGTTTATCTTTAATTCCAGCACTCAGTAGGCAGAGACAGGTGAATCTCTTAGTTCAAAGCCAAGCTGGTCTGCATAATGAGTTCCAGGGTTAAATAGAGAAATCCTGTCTCAAAGAACAAGCAAACAAAAAGAAAATGCTATAACAACAACAACAAAAAAGGCACAATTGTAGACTACTCCATGACTTTTATTTAAGGTATACACACACACACACACACACACACACACACACACACACACACACACA